GACATAAGCCACGTTCAATTATTTATCTTCATGGACTGTATTCTATGTTTATTAATTATTTTGATAAGTCCTTAAAAATATGATTTTAATTATTTGATGATTTCATACTCCATTGGTTTAAATTAATAAATATTACTACATTTATCTATTTTATTTATTTGTTTTCTTGAGATCAAGTGATAAGGGTATTTGATATTATAAATTAAATAATTTTAGATTTTATTTATGATTATATAGAATATCTTAGGTTCAAAGGTTATAAAATATTTTATATGAGTTGTTGCCTCTTTGATTTATATAACCATTGTCATTTATTCATTTTATACTTTTAAATTCTATTAACATTGGGACGTTATTCATTAGAAAGCATTTGTTTGATCTTATATAGCATAATTGATGTTGTACCTCCAGCTAACCTTTGAAGAATATATTGTTAAATTGATTAGAAGATCTTTTAACAATACGTTTCTTTTGATGTAAATATTTAAGTATGTGTTATATTTAAATTTGTGATTAATTGCTCCACATTAGCTATAAATAGGATGTTGATTTTGTTATGTTGACTGTTTGTTATTGGGAAGCATAGCTCTAAACTATTTAATTCATATTGTAATATTTTCTATTGTAAAGATTTTGGGAGATTTTATTTACAAAGGAGATTTTGTAAAAATTTTGGCAAAAATATTAAAGTTTTTATTATAATGAATATTTTCAATGATGTCATAATTTTAATATAAATTTAATTATGTTTTAGAATTGAAAGGATTTTTTGATTTAAGGTTTAGGAGATGTGTGATATGGTTCACATCCCATGACGGTTACTTTTAATTTTCAAGGCGTGATAGGTCCATACCTAAATATCTGTAATTGTACACACATTTAAAGCCTATGATGGGATTAACCCTAGCTGCATATTTATATGCAAGATAGGAAAATTGATTTTGAACCAGGACTATAAATTAATAATCCTTTTGTCCACCACTTATCTCACCAAGGACTACACCACTCAAGAAGTAGTATTAGAGCTTGATTTGTGTGAAGATGATGGTATTGAGACATGTTTGTAATAGTCTAATAGTTTTAATCTCATTCCAAATTCAATTATCTATTGAATTGATTAAAATCAAATGAAATTGAAATTTAAAACTAAACAAGTAATAAATAATAAGACCAACTGTTACTAATTTAAATGTATAATTTATTATTAATTCAGAATTTCACTTGCAAAATGTTAACAAGATTATTGTTTTTAGAAATATAAAAAAATAGTTCATAGCTATAAATTTAGAACTTCAATAAATAGTAGGACCAAACTGAAAAAAGAGATATGGTCTAAATTAAAATTCATTATCATATTGATTGAAGACAATAGCATGGATAAAATAATGACAAAATAATAATTTGAGCTGCTAAAGACTTTTTTTCATTGGCAACGACAATGCATTAGCAACAAAAGAAAAACAAACAATCTTTGACAGCTAATGCACTATAGAGTAACTCTGATAAAATATTGAAAAAAATGATTATATGAAGCTCGTATGTTATAAACAAATAAAAATATCAAGTCTAAAGATATCAAAGAAATAAATCAATGAGAATTCAATGAATAGGTATATTATAACATTAATTGGAAAATCTAATCAAGCATAAATACATAAAAAGATTTTTGCCAAGATATTAATGCTTTTGGCTTTGGATGTGTGGTAACATTACAAAAAAAAAAATGACTGTTGGCAGTGACTTTTAGTTGTGATAAAAAAAGTCACCGTTAAAAGTACGGTGACAATTAAAAGTCGCCGTTAAAAGTAGACAATATCACCGTAAAAAGTAAATTTTAGTGATGACTTTTAATTGTTATTGTTAAAAATTACTTTTAACGGTAACAAATCGTTACTACTAAAAGTACTTTTATAAAAAATAATTAAAAAATTTAAAATAATTTATGTAATTACTTCATTACCACAAAAAATATTTTCATAAAAAATAATTATTATATAAAATTAATTTATATAATTACTTTTTAGTGGTGACAATAAAAGTATTTTTACAAAAAAATTAAAGTAATTTATGTCATTTCAAATTCCGTCAACAAAAATATTTTTATAGAAAAATAATTAAAAATTTAAAAATAATTTATACAATTACTTTTAGCGCCGACAAACCATCACCCCTAAAAGTATTTTAAAAAATAAAAAATTAAAAATAATTTATGTAATTAATTTTTAACAATGACAGTTAGTATTTTTATAAAAAATAATTTAAAAATTAAAAATAATTTATGTAATTGCTTTTAGTGGCAACAAAAAAATATTTTCATAAAAATAAAAAAATAATTTATTAATTATTTTTAGCGGTGATAAATCATTACCACCAAAAATATTTTCATAAAAATAATTAAAAAATTAAAAATAATTATGTAATTACTTTTTAGCAAAAACAAACTGTTGCTATTAAAGGTATTTATATATAGAATGAGAAATAAATAACATTGAAATGTTAAAATTATATATAAACATTAAAATATTAAAGTCATATAGATGTTGTAAAATGCAAATGACATTATAAACTACTTGACACATTGCACACTTGATGCTTGGCTTAGTATACACATGGTATATGCTTTGTTTGCTAAACTCTACTTTTCACTGTCACAGGATTATTTAAATAATTTGCTTCATATTTGATGGTTATTTAAAATAAATAACAAATAAAATAGGTGGATAATACTTGACAGTATTTTGAATTATGGATAAAATTATTTATAAACTTATTAAATTTTATTTATTTTAAATTACAAAGTTATTGAAAAGTATTCTTTATGATCTTTATATTAACTCTATTAAAGAGACTCTAATGAAAGTCTAAATTAATTTACATGGAGTCAAGACAAAATTCATTCCATTTTGATTATGAAATGTCCACTTAAATTTTTAAATTGGAGTTTTTTAGCATTTAATTTTAGTTTATCACATATTCACCCATTTTCTATCTCAAAGATAATAAAAAATAATTGTTCAAAATGACTATTAACAAAATTTATATGATTAAAATAAATTTTTTATTAAAACATTTTTAAGATAATTAAAAAATTGTAGATAAAATTTAATTTTAATACATGAAGGGGAAGCATTTAACTTGTGTGAAGATAAAAGTTTAACAATTTATTTATTACTTTTTGATAAAAATATGGAAAAAAAGTAAAAGATATTTAACGTAAACTAATATAATACATACTTATAAATAAATTATAGACTTAATTATTTCATTTAAAAAAATAAAAATAAAATTTAAAAACTAGTAAAATGTTTATAAAAAAATTATTTAATATTTAAATATTATTTCATTTTAAGTTCATTTTCCTAACAAAAATAATATTTTATTAAAAAATATAATATATATATATATATATATTCACACTCATAGAAATTATTTTAACATATTAATAAATAAAAATAAAATAAAATATATATGCATATATTTTAATAATATATTATTTAATAGATGTATATATAATTAAACTAGCTTTTACTTCCCTATGCGTTGCACGGAAAGCATAAATTAAGCTTATAATATAATTATTGAGTATATTTTTCATAATATTTTTTAATGCCATGACACCTTTCTTTTCAAATAAAAAATATATAGGAGTGACATTGTCCAATCAAAATTGATTAGGCAATATATTTATGTCAAAGGGATGTCATTATTATATTCTATACTTATTATCAAACTTTTCAATAAAACCTTACTATTATTTTCTTAATATTCATTCCCCATGCGATGTCCTAAAAAAAGTAGGCTTAAATAGTAGTTAAATATCTTGTTTTGAAATCAATTAAAGTCTACATGCAAACTAAATACGAATGCTAATGGCTTCCTTTTCGCGGACATTAACCTTGTTTCATAAAGGAAACAATGAAAAGTAATACTTCATTAGCAATCTCAACTTATACATTTCGACATTATTCTTTATAAAAATAGTATAATTACCTCTTTTAACATATTGTAAATAAATTACTGTCATATTATACACCCTTTAAATAGTCCAAGTAATAATCATGACATACATAATCAATTCAAACTTTATTGAGTAATTAGTGAACCATTTTTCTAACGTTGTTAATTTTACTCAACATCCCTCTCCATGGCTGTCATAACAATACCATTTATGACAGTTCACGATTCTATGCCAAATTTTTTGTTTAGTTTTTTAATTATTTTTGTTAGTAGCAGCAGTCTTAAAAATACATTGTACTACTTTTTCTTGTTCAAAGCCGCTCATTTTGAGATATCTCAATGCTCTCAAGCTGTTCCCCTTGTTTATGATAATGGACACTAATTCAAGACAAAAATAAAAAAACTATTGGCTTGTGTCTGTTAAGTCTATTTTTTATTCATATATAAACTTTAGCTTTGTTCCCAATAAAAAATGATCATCATCATCATAATATATCTATTTATGAGATAACATTATTCATTCAGACTATACATTACGATAGCAAGCAATTAGGCATGTTGAGTAAAATTGATTAAACTAGATATAATCCTATAATTATTGAAATATTATTATCGCTATTAACAATAACCTGCCTTTTGGAGAAAAAGCGCCCATCAAATTGCTATCCAATAATAATGCAAGGACTAAAATAAGAAAATATACCAATGCAAAATCGATTCCTCTATGACTACTTTTTTTTTTACAAGAAAGTGAAACCTACTCAAATGAAATTATCTATCACAGAGCGAACCAAGACGACAAACTAAAAGCATGTTTGCCCAAGACCCTATGCAAAGCTACAATGGGCTGAGAACTGTATAACAGAGAACTTTATATTATTTTATCATTTATACTTTTGTTTAAAAAGGAAAACTTTGATGATGATAAAAATTCATTGTTTCAACTCTCAATACTCTCTGTATGCCTCTTACTCTCTGTTTTACTTGTTTTCATAGGTAAGGAAATCATTAGTAGGAAAGAAGTTGCACAGATTGCCAAAATATGAAGGAATGAGTTCTCAAGACCTTTGTAGCCTTGTATTTGCGAAAAAGAGTTATTTATCTTGGAGTTAAAATACTATTCTAGCCTTTCAAGCTACCATACAATAATAATAAATGCAGAGACTAAAATAAGAAAACATGCCAATGCCTCTAGAACTTTTTTTTTTCGAGAAGGTGAAACCTATTCAAATCAAATAAATTGTACAATGGAGAGTCATCCATGAAGACAAACTAAAAGCATGTTGCCCAAGATCCGAGCCAAAGCTACCACAGGCTGCGATTGCACGAAATTGGCATTTAAGTTTATCTGTATTAAAAAAGGAAAGCCAAAGCATGCCCTTCTATAGGGTACTTAGAAAAGAATATTCCTCATATCTACAGTCATTTCCTGACAAAACCATAGCTTTGATAGTACAAACCTTTACCAGGTCAAAAAGAAAAAATAAAGTACAGACCGATAAGGAGAAAGTGAATTTTAAATAGTTTTGCTAGTTACCACATATATGGGCTAAGCTTTGAAAGAAAAATGCTCCATGAAGTGTAAATAAAATATCAAGGGTTAAGCTTCCTTTTCAATGGTGGATGCATCAATATAATGAATTGTCAACATCAGAGGAAATAAATATCAAACAAAGGAAAAACACCATTAATGAGTCAAGGACAACAGCATTTAATGTATAATTAAAAAATCAACACATTCAAAAAGCAGCATTTGGCCAAATATGATGAACCTCAATTAAATATACGTGCAAGATGTCACTCAACAAAAGGTTGTCGAGACAACAAATAGTTGGCAAAGGCAAAAATAGAAGTCAATTGCACCAGTTTATGAACCCCAAAGAAATACAAGTGCTAAAACATGAGAGTAAAGTAGAAGTTTGAGATGGATTACTCCAAATGACTTCCGTGGATGGAGAAAGAGCTCCTCCAAATCAGAGCACCACTTCCAGTCATAAAGGTGTTTTCAACTGTGAACAGACTCATTTTTTTGATGACTTTTATATATAAAATTTTAAAAAAATTACTTTAACCTTCTTGTACTTTAAATGTTAGAATACAGTCACTTACAATGGCAAGTTCTATTCAAAACAATGTTGATGAGTTTACCTTGCAAGTAGCAATCAATCAACATGGTTAAGAAAGAACAGAGAAGATGAAAAAAAGAAAAGTGAAAAGGAAGAGAAACAGGGGAAAAAGGATACCAAATGGAGACCATAAAACCAAAGTAGAAGTGAATTATGTTTTATCAGAGAGCGGTCACTGTCATCGGCATTACACAAGGCAGTATAAATCACACCTATCTGAAGGCTATTAAGCACAAATTGGGTAATGATGCAGACTTGGGATAATAGTTTCGTTGAATCTGTAGCCTGAGTTTTCACAAAAAGATGGATGGTTCTTGAGGCATATTATCTCTCCAAACTGCATCCTTTTTCAGCTGTCTGAAAATTTTCACAAAAAACAACGTTGACTGCATGCAAAACTCAAATTGCGATGTAAAAGAATTGACAGCTGGCTACAGATTCAGCAGGAGGTTATTATGTCACCTTGCGTCTTCAAATTTGTCTATACTACCAAAAGGATATGATTTATCAATTACTTGCCAAGAAACAAAGCATGAAAACTCAAAATGCTGGGAAATTGCCACAATTTCAACAAATAAAAAACAGGGCACAACAAATTATTGATGAAGAAATTATTATAATTAATTAAATAAAAAATAATAAGCATACTTCACAATGTCAGATGACAGAGATTAAGTAAGTCTCTTTATCCAGAAAACTTAAAAGTCAATGTCACAATATCAACAATTAACAACTTTTAAAAAATTGACAGAATAAATAAGCAATAAGAACAAAATTTTGCTTCTATCAGAAAAATATAAGATACAAAAATCACAATTCTATAGTATATACATGTTCTCCAAGATCATGTATTTCTGCCATGAAATGACGCTCTCCCCTGTGACATGAGTTAATTAGAATCAAGACAAATGAACTAACAGTAGAAAAAGTCAAGGTTGAAAATAAATATTGAAATTTAAATCAAATCAACAAAGGAAGTCAAGACAAATACTAACGGGCTTCTTATCCCAGTTGTCATTGTCTGTGATTTAACTTATTTTAGATATGGATTCATCTTCCTTCGGTGGATAAAGAGTCTTAAGTTCTTAATTAGTGAGTAGTCTCTCTCTTTCATTGAGATGTGTAGAATGTACAAAATGGAATCCACTTTATTGTTGTCACTTTGTCAGATAGCAACAGGTTTTGATGTGGAAATAACGCAGTCCCTTTTCTTACGCATCTATGATGGGTTCAAATTAAATTAGGTCTCTTGTTGATCAGAGGCTTGATGCATCTGCAATGTGCTTTTCTCTCAGGTCAAGTTGCATTTAAAAACTAACATTGCTTCTGATATCTGCACCTGCTGAATTTTAGTTAAAAATCATTGTAATATTTGTAAAGTTGATGCTTCCATGTCAATTTAAGGACCCTCAACAGCTTAGGCATGAAAACACTTTGTTATCCAATAGTGTCATAAACAATATGCAAAACTTAAATGATGCTAAAAAAATCAGAAAGCATATTTGCCAAAATTGGCATTATCACATATACCAATGATATTATATATATAAATATAAAGAAGCGACCACATATGAAACAAAACATGGCAGGTAAAATAGGACAAGAAGAATGCAAAGACCCCCTGCACAAATTTCAAAATTACGAAGCAAAGGATGAAAGCAAGAAGAAAAGGGGAGGGAAAAATAAAGAACAGGATGATAGAAAAGATCATCTTTTGTAGACAAAATTTGAAGAGATGGAGGGAGTTTTGAAATTCAAAATTCAAAAGTGGATTAAAAAATTAGAATAAAATATCATAGATACATATCAATATGATTGTACTGGCTAGAATTAGAATACCAAAATGCATAGTCTGTCTTTGCAAATATGAACTTAAAATCTAAACAATCATCCCCATTAGAACTTAAAGTAGGGTCTATCTTCTAAACAAATTCTTCATGCACTACAAAATTTAACAATAAAAGGGAGTTTCTACGTAAACCATAAGGAAAGGCAACAAGGGTTATAGTGGGGGATTTATAAGTTACAATACATGATAGTTAAAATAAAAATACAAATATCATAAATTTCTGCAAGGCCCTTCTTACTTTTATTCTCATCCTAAATTCATCACAGGGATGATGATTAATTATGCTAATACCAATAAAGCTAGAAAGAAACTAAACTTCAATGTTCTATTCATTTGCTGAAAAATGAGCTTACCAACTCTTTTAATCAGGAAACATAACATGAGCAAAAGTTGAAGTAATCTAATGACATACTCATCAAAGGAATAAGAAGATAACCACATTGTAACTCTATGTTAAACAACATTCAACTATATACAAAAATCCTGAAATAAATCAAGGCACATTAAAATGGAAGAAAAAATAAGATGAATGTGAAAAATAAATTCTGGTCAATCCCTTCTAGCTTTCTTAAATATGCCCATGTGTATTAGAGAGAAAAGCCAGAAACTGCAAGACAATTGGAGAAAAGGAGAACTGAAACTATTGATCCATCAACAATACAACAACAACAACAACAACAAGAAGCCTTTATCCCACTAGGTGGGGTCGGCTACATGGATTGCAAGACGCCATTGTGCTCTATCATTTATTAAGCTTTTAGAAATATTATTAATTAAGAGATCACGTTCAACAACTTCCAAGAGTATTCTCTTAGGCCTTCCTCTACCTCTCTTAATCGGACTCAAAGTTATATGTTCCACTCTTCTCACTGGTGCCTCCCTTGGTCTTCTTTGTACATGCCCAAACCATCTCAACCGATTTTCTACCATTTTTTCCTCAATAGGTGCCACCCTCACTTTTTCACGTATGTGCTCATTTCGAATTTTATCTTTACGAGTATGTCCGCACATCCATCGTAACATTTTCATCTCTGCTACTCCAACTTTATGCTCTTATTGTCCCGTTAGAGCCCAGCATTCACTACTATATAACATTGCCGGTCTGATAGCAGTACGATAAAACTTTCCTTTAAGTTTATTAGGCACCTTACGGTCACAAATAAGTCCTTTAGCTTTTCTCCAATTAAACCACCCAGCTTGAAAGAAAATGATGTTGATTTTTTATATTAGAAGAAAAAATACAAATCAAAAATAAAAATCAAACTGAGTATAAAGCTAACCTTAGAAAATATGGAAAATTCTCAGCCACGTTTTCATCGACATTCTTCCTGATTCTTCAAGAGAGGGTTGGGGAATCAACAATCTTATTATACAGATAAGCAGCCATTAATTTGCTGGTTGGTCATTCTGGTAAAAAATGAAATGCAGGCAAGTGGCATCATATCTGAAGCCTTTTATATTTATTGACTCAACTAATTCTAGCTTCATATACATGACTAATTCTAGCAATACAAAATGTGCAATCAAAATGCTAAATATTTACCATTACAACTGAACATGTAATCATATAATATGGGATGAAAGCAATTCTAGGATGATAACCCTTCTATGCCAATATTCATCTTTTGTATGCAATCCCCAGCCCATTTCCCCAAGCTAATTTGGAAAATCTGCAAACTGAGTATAATTATTGCTCAATTGAAAGCAATAATTATAATCATCATAAAAATAATTACAGTCCACGACTAACTCTAGCTATACAAAATGCTAAATATTGATTTCACTAATTCTAGCTTTATATACATGACATGCCTCACCACAGTTGCTATATTAAACAAATCTTGTCATCAGTGTCCTTACTTAAAGTTATGGCAAGTCTCTCTCAAGCCCTTCACTTTCAGTTTCAAATATACATGAAATCAACATGTAAATGCAAGATTAAAACCCAACCCATTCCACCAAGTATATATCAAAAGTTGGATCCTCAGCTTCCCGTCGTCATGTGTGTACCAATATGCAAGTACGGGTAACTTGCCAACAATGGAGCAGCCTTAAAACATTTAAGTGACCACATTAAAAAGTCAAACTTATTTTAGCTGACTTGCAGTAGGCTACATCAAATTTTCTCTCACACCCTCTTCCTACGAGTATAATATAGCACAGTCAACTCTAAGTTATTAAGTTTAAACAAAATAACTCATGTGAAGGAAGGAAATGTCTGTTTACCTTAAGCTCGTTCAAAGCTCGAGGAATTTCTCTAAAACCTTTCCATAGGTATAGAATTTTCCCTTATCTTGCTGCAATCTCAAGATTTTTTAGGAGGAAAATCAATAACCAAAGTGGTTCAAAATAAACAATGAAAATATCATCTTTTTAAGCAAATCACAACAAATAAATCTCTGCTTACTCCACCACTCTCCAATATGTTGACTACATCATACATGTGGCAACGGTGAACTCCTACAAATTCAAGTGAGGGATTAATGCCAGAATCAGGATCTCGAAAAAACCAGGACCGATTCGACTATCCAACTCTCTATCTTGCAACTTATCAGTAGCCAAGAAATATGGAAAATAAGGAAATCAACAAATAAGAATAAATTGACAAATAGGAAAGAGGGGAAAGAACTTACAGAAGAAAGAGAGTGAGAGCAAAAAGACGACAAGACAATGATAGAAAAAGAAGACGCGTGCCTTTGTAATTCTCACGCATCGGAGAAGGTGACTCGGCAAGGGTTGCTTAAGCAAATAATACTCGCGCGTCGGAAAAGTTGACTCGACCATGTTTTCTCCGACGACTAGAAACAAAGAGCTGGCAATGGCCGAGTCAGAAGCATCCATACTCAGGTAAATAGAGCTTAAACAAAATTGGTAAGAAGACGATTGTGGCTTTGTAATGGCCGACCAACGACAGAGAAAAAAAACCCTAGATCGAAGAGAATGATGAGATCGATGAGATTAAAGAGGAGAAGCAGGCAGCGCCCAAATCAAATGATTTCAGTGAGGTTGCTGGAAGAATGGAAGAAAATGACTTGGCACAAAGGAAGGAGATGAGGAGACGGAGGGTGATTTTGAAATAGATCTCACTGAAAGATGTGTTTTGGGTTTTCTCGGGAGAGAGGACGATGATTCAGAAAATGGGACTTTTTGGCGTTCGATGCCGGGTCAGCATAGAGATCGGACACAAAAAATATATTATTTGAATACTTCTTATCAAGTAGCATCCCGGGTCATTTTTTAAAAAAAATTGTCTTGTAACAAGTAAGGAAAAAATACCATTCATGCGCCCATCCTCCTTCTTAAAAAGCAACTGATATGGGTGATCCTTACTTGCCATCTCGATAAAATGCCAATATTGCCCTTGATTACTGTTTATAAGGATTCACTTTTGAAATAGGTTTCTATAATATGTTGATTATATATATTTAATTTTGCATATAACAACTATAAGTATTTTTTTGCTCAATTGATAAACAATTAGGACTCAAGACTTAGAATGTGATGGTAAAGGGCTTAAATTCAAGTTTGAATATATTTTACAATGAATCATGTGACATGGCACACGATGGCGATATGGCATGACGTGGCATAACATGGCACACATATGGCAGGGTGATAGGTAATGTGGCACAAGGTGTCAATTAACATGACACGAGAAGGCATTGACGTGGCATGAGATGACTGTTATTTTTTTAAAAAAATGACTTTTGGCGACTACAAAAAGTCACAACTAAAGGTTTTTGATAGTGACTTTTCGTCGCCAAAGGGTTTCTATTAAAAGTTTAGTTGCTAATAGTTTTTGGCGGTGACAAAAAAAGTCACCGCCGAAAGTAAATTTTTAGCGGTAAAAAACTTTTAAAATATTTTTGGCGGTGACTGTGTTTGTCATTGTCAAAAACTATTAATATAAGATTTTTGATGATGACTCTTTGATAGTGAAGAGTTGCTACTAAAAATCTTTAGCAGCTGTCATTGTCAAAAGTTATTTTTTTTTGTAGTGTAAGAATTTTTTTTTTATAAAAGACACCTATAATACTATAGTTGAACTAGTCGAGCAAGACTAATTAAGGGTCTCATATTCAAGTTTTAAGATATGTTATTCAAGTCTCATATTTAATACATGAAAAACCACATTAATTAAAAATGCCAAAAAGTTATACATCCCAAAATATTATGCAATTGATAATAACAATCTTCCAATGCAAGAGTTTAAATTAGTTTAGACTAGTGATTATATTATCCTAATTGTAGATTTTATATATTTTATCCAATTTTTTCCATGCATTTTAATGGTGCTTTTGGACTAATTTGTGTTTATTATATATTATTTAGATTATTGACTAATTTGAGAAATAATATATTTTTGAATTAATTATAGAAATTTTGGGCTTAAATTATGAAAATTTTATTTGCCTATTTTTTTACATGGTTTAATTTTTTAAAATTTTTAATTATGCTTAATTTGAATTATTACACATTATTTGAGATTTTGGCCATTTTGTGAAAAATTATAATTGCTGAAAAAATTAGTTTTGAAATATTTATTGAGACATGAAATTTATTTTGAACATAGCATATACTAATGGGTGCATTTAATTTTTTAAAACATGGAGATAAAATTAATAAAACTCAATTGTAAAGATTGAATCTTGACAATTAAAAGAGTATTCAAGGGCTATAAAAAAACTAGACAAGAAGAAAATTATCAAAGTTTATTAAGAATATAATGAGCATTTTTAACAAAGAAAAATTAAAAAACTTTTATATTTTTCTTTTTATCTTTTTTTATTGACTCTTTTTAAATTTAATGGTTAAAATTTTTCTTAAACTCTCTATCCTTTTTTTTTTTAATTATTGGATCATTTGTCCCATAACTTTTTCTCCTCGCACTAATTTTACACAGCCGCCGGAATTCAGGAAGGAAGCTCGCGCTCTATGGTTTGATTTTTTTTCCTCTTCGGCTGAAGCTCTCATCTCTACGTATTCATAATTCTTTTCCCCCTTTCATCCAACTTCACCGTCCACCCACATGCGTCATCGTGAACCATTTTCCCATCCATTTACCATTTATTCACTTTCCCCTACACATCCAGAGCCTCATTTTCAGCCACCGAACCCATCATTCATCAATATTAAATTCTTTCCACCAGCTTCTTCCCTCCCATCACTTACGACGCACAGACCCTTCCATCACTTATGCCACTTCACCATCATTTATCTATTCCATTTTTTTCCATGATGGCCGTGGACTCCATGGTGCAAGGAGGAAGAACAAAAATCATGGAGGCTTGAGCTGGCTTGAAAGGGTACTTGGGATGAGCATGGAGAGAGTTAGAGCATGGGAGTGATTTTTCATTTATCTTTTCAATTTAAGAGTTTAAGATTATTTAATTTTAAATAGTTTTAAGTTGTAATACTTGAGTACAATCTAAATTTGATTGATATTTGAATTGATTTTGAGTTGAATGAATTTTTAAAATTTATATTTATTATCCTTGCTTTTTCAATTAAACTAATCATTGAGTTTTCATTGTTGATTTAATTATCATTGTAGTATTTCTTACAAATTTGGGTTGTTTTTTATACCTTTTAATTGTTTAACTGAGTTAATAATTTGTCTAATTATTTGATTAGATAATTTAAATATATTTTCCAGATTTGTTTTGAATTAATTGTCATTGGTTTAATGGATTTAATTTGCCTTATTGATCAAAGTCATATCATTCGATTCACTATAAATTCTCTAGTGGATTAAGTGTTAGATTTTGTGTTTATGAGTTTCATTTGCTTTAAATAGATAATTGAATTTATTAATCTCACTCTTCTATCATTTCCCTTTGGTCTAACTAATTAAATTGGGTTAAAGAAGTTAACTCCATGTAAAGTCCTAAGTTATCCCTTTTATCGGAATTGAATCAAATTTTTTTTATTTTTTTGTTAATTAATCATTTTTGTCACTTGATTAATTTTTTTAATTTACATTTCATTTTTCTTGACACAAAACCCCCCATTCATAATTTAGGACTCATGCATTGCATAATAGCATTTTTTTTAATACAATTGCATAATATCATTTAGGTGACATTAGCATTAGCATCCATTTAGGTAGTTTTAGTGGCATAAATTACATTTTTTTCATTTGCATTTGGTGTAGAAATCTAGCATTTAGTTTTAGATCATTTTGCATTAGTTTTTAAATACGTAAAGAATTTAATATGAACTTCTAAATTGCTCTTTGGAAAGAATGATTTAGGATTGACCTATATATATTATATTAAGTCAACCTTAATTTAATTTAGTGCTAACAGTGTAACATCCCGAAATTTTAAAACTCAGATTTATTAAAATAAAATAAAATATCTATAATTAAATTAAAATTTAGAATAATTTGATAGAGGTCTAGAGTTTGAATTTTACTAAGCAAAAGTTTAGTTTTATTTGATTTTTAACTATGAAAAAAATTACCAAAGTTGACCCGGGCTTTTGTGCAATAATAAAAAAATGTTGGGCCGTTTCTTATAATTTACCCTAAAATATTTTAGCATCAGTTTTAAAGAGAAAAATAGACCAGAAACGCAGAAAAGAAAACAAGGAAAGGAAAGGAAACGCGTGAGAGAGAGAGAGGAAGAAGAAAGGAGAAAGAGAGGGAGTTAGGTTCGGATCTAGGAGTCTTTGCGACCGTTGCGAGCTTGGCTACACGATAGGTAAACTCCCTACTTCAATCCTCTTCCCTTTCTCTTGATTTTCTTCAATTTTTGAAAGAGGAGATTTTTGGATTTTGATCCCAAAGGCTTTATTCTTGTAAGCTTTTGTTTCTTTGGATCCTGGGGAGCATGTTTTGAGTTTCTATATAGTGATCTAATGTTTTGAGTGGATAATTGGATGAAAAGAGGTGTTTTGGGCACAAAATAAACCTTGAGAAATTGGGTTTTTGCTCTTCAATGGTTTAAGCTTATTGATTTAGTTATAATTTTTCTATTTGAGCCCAATAAGATTTAAATTAAGGTTTGGTTTTCATTATAAAGGCTAATGGTGAAAGTTGGTGACATTAAGTGAAAGTTTTTAATTGATAAAAAATTATATAAATTAGAAATTAGCCTAGTGATGGCTAATAAATGGTTTTGGTGGTTAAGTGATACTATGTGAATGTTTGGTTTAATATATGGACCATTAGGGTGGATTATGACTCATTGACCCAAGTTGTGTGGTATGAGTTATGGTCTTCATTAATGCTATTTGTCATGATAAGTGATGTGAATCACTTATATGTTGTAGAAAATTATTGGTGGAACTTATTGAGAAGTAAGGAACAAGCCGAGCCCTATTTTGTATAAGGGGAACCCTTTTGGTACCAAAGAGTTGAGGTAACAGGGAATTTATATTTCTTATTACTTTGTTTTAGCTATTTTTGAATAAATATTACTAGTTATCATGCATTACATGTTTTAAAAAATTAAATGTGCTTTATAAGGGGTTATGGGGTACTACTTTGATTATAGTACAAATATGTTTTTTAATTGTTTAATAACAATGTTTTTATGGAAATGAGATTTATAAATATTATACTACTTTAGAGTGTTGAATGGTCAATACTCAGGAAATGTAGACAAGAGTAAAAGGCATGATCTCGATGGGAGTTCACCAATGAGAAGGTGTGGATTTTTTGATATTCTATGGCACACTGTCAGTACTCAGTGTTGTCTTACGTATTGTGGGCTCAGTGCACTAAAGTGGTTAGTGTATTGAGTGTTCGACACCTCTCAATGGGGGAGGGAATCCAACATATGAAGTGTGAGGTTGAGTACCTAGGCCAAAGTAGCCCTCACATGGAAAGTAAGTTGGGCTGGCTCTGGGAAGGAGTTAGCTTCAACTGCTTAGGATTCACGTCGAAGGGGCATAGGAGGTTCGGTGGATTAGATCATACCTTAGATTATGTTTTGTGCCTGTGGAGGTACAAGTAGGTATAAGGTTTACCTGCGAGTTAAAGAGTGCCAGGGGGCATTCTGTTAGTCATGAAAGGCCATACCGGCCAAGGTCATGCATTCATGCATTTTAAATGGCTAAATTATATACTATGTTGAATTTATTATTCGTTTATTTGATTATGGCTTACTTTGTAATAATCAATGTAGATTTCACTGTTACTGAGACTGTGGTTGTCTCACCCCTTTCTTTTCAATATTCTAGGTCCAGGCGAAGGATCAAGTGGTGAACGGGGAAAGGAGCAAAGC